CTCTGAGGCTCTTCTTCTTCTGTAATTCAGGGCTAAGAGAACACATGTCAGAGGAGAACGCCACATGAAATATCTACCCTAGTTTCTGGCACACAGCAATCCATGCCATCAAAGTATGGTTCCAGGATCCAAATTCCACTCAGTCTCTGCTTTCAACTGTGGGGAATATGTAAGCTTACTGTTTCCCAGAAAGAACTCTGGCAGTGCAGGGAGAGTACTTGTTGCAGTGTGTGAGCTCTCGCTATATGCACATTGTTGCTTTTCCTTGCCATCAGTATTCTGGATTGATAAACTAGAGGAGCATGGAGGAAAAGGTGGGTCATCAAAACTGACAACAGGAAACCTGTTCCACCATTCAGTGATTTGCACTGTGCAATTAGCAAATTATACTCCTTTTCCCCCCAAAAGAGAGCTTTACGGAGAGGAGGCTGGTGTGCCAATCACAACACTGCTTAGACAAAGCATCTCTCCTGGAATACACACTGTTTCTACTGACAATACTCACCCAGTCTGGTGGTGCTTACATTCTCTTTCATTTGCTTAATTTTAATGAGACATGAGATCAACATCACAGAAGCAGTTTCAGAGGACTCTGGTTCCTTGACAAAATGCTGTTGTCATGACATCTTTTGATTTATACAAGGGAGAAACTTTGCTATTCATTCCTGGGGCCAAAGTCTTATGTAATACCAGCATTCATGTATAATTCTTAAAACAATACATACATTGTTTTATACAGTATATCTATTTCTACACACACACACACACACACACACACACACACACACACACTCAAAGCTAAAAAATCCTAGGAAACACCTGGGAGAGCTAACACTGCAGAAAAAACATTGCATAACATGAAAGAAAGAAGTGAGAATATATTGACAGTCTAAGAGAAGGGAAGGGGAAATAATCAGAGGCTAAAGAGACTTGGTGTGGGAAGCAGGGCAGCTGGCCAGTCTTTTCCGACTCCATCTCTTTATGGGCTGCAGCCTTGGTCTCAACCTTGTTTCATGGGATAAAATCCTGGGAAGCATCCCTGGGGTTTGGACACCATTTCTGTTGTTTCAGGCTTAAGGTTTGGAAATGTCCCCCCAATGCCCCTGTATTACAAGCTTGTAATCCAGCCTCTAGTCATCTTTAGAGAGAGGGGACTAGTGAGTATAAATTGGGTAACTGGGAGACTGTCCTTGGGAATGTTGGTCTCTTCCTCTCCATTATTTTCCCCCAACTGCCAAGGAACAATACTGTTCCATCTCACACTGCCAGTATAATGTACTGTGCCACCACAGGCCCAGAGCAACTGGGACAAAGAACTGCGGACAGAAGCTTGTGAGTCTGGGCACCTCTGTTATGCTATCTTGGGCATTACACCACAACGATGGCAGAATGAGACTTGTGGCTAACAGTTTTATCTCCCTTAAGGGACAGGATAGGTCTTAAAAGTAGAGCAGGTATAAGAGGAATGGGGGATGGTATGCTGATGCGTGTAAACTCCTTTCCTTTAGTTGTCACTTACCAAAATGTCCAGTTAATGGTGGCCAGTGGCTAGTTAGCATTCAACTTTATTGGAAGTAATTGATAAGGTGAGGGTAGCTGTCAGTAGAGATATAAAATAGGCTGTGTAAGAAGGCATCTTAGAGGAAAGTGTCACAGATGGAATGGCTTGAACAACATTCATTTCTCACAGTATTGGAGGCTGAAGGTCTCAAATCCTAGAAATCGGGATGTAGCAGATGTAGCAGGGACTAGGAAGGGCTCACTTCCTGCTTTGAAAATGACTGCTGTTCTGTTGTACCCTCAAATGATCAATGGACTGATCATCACTCTCCTCTCTCAGGAGGGCACAAATCTCACTTACATGAGCCCCATCCTCATGACCTAATTACCTCCTAAAGGCATGCTTCCTAAAACCATCATGGCTGCAACCTGTGAATCTAGGGGGGAAGCTAAAATGTTCAGAATATAGCATTAAATTCTGTAGGATTGGGACTTTAAAGACTCTCTTTAGTTTCATTTTATTTAATCCAGGCAGATCTTATTGTAGCAAGGAATGGATATAGAATGGACCTCCAAGGGCCAAGCAGCTTAACAACTGGGCTCTACAGTTGGTTAGTACAGAGAACAATTCCTTGTCCAAACTGAAACCCAAAACTGTGGGAAGGGACTGGTTATCATGTGGGAGATGATGGGATGGAAAAGAGCTTTACAGCCCTCTTCATCATGGTATAAATGGCTCAGGAAGGCCTGACTGGCCAGTCTGCTTGGGCAGTGACTCAGGCAAAAAAAAAAAACTGGGCTTGAAACTGCATTCTGAATTATTTAGTAGAACATGAGGTAGGACTTTCTGTCTGTAAGAGAAGTTAGAATGTAACAAACTGTGCCGGGCGGTGGTGGCGCACACCTTTAATCCCAGCACTTGGGAGGCAGAGGCAGGCGGATCTCTGTGAGTTCGAGGCTGGGCTGGACCGACAGCCTCCAAAACAACACAGAGAAACCCTGTCTTGTAAAAACCAAAAAAAAAAAAGAATGTAGCAAACTGTAAGGCATAGTTTTGATTCAGGGTGGCCAGTCTGTGCATTCCACACCTCTCTCTGCTAATCCTGCATCTAGGACTCATAGTGATCTTCCACATCACTGTCCTCTATGGGTGGCTGGAACCTTGGATGGGACTGAGTTTTATCTATACTATGCTTTTCCTGTATCTATAACACTCACAAGAATGCTTCATTTATGGAATACTATGACAAGTTTTCTTTACTCCTTCCTCTCCTTCCTCTCTCCCCTCTTGTCAACTTGTTGGACCATGCCGAGCCTCCTTACTGACTTTAGGGAGCTGAAAGCACAGATTACAGAGCCATGGATAATGGGGACCTGATGACTGTGTGACATGATTAAGTTAGGACATCGTAGTATTTATCTTCTGAGGGGAATACATTTCACACCATTCCTACAGTAATGTTTCTGTTGCTGCATTCATTATAGGGTATGATGGTTTGAAAGAAAATGCCCCCCAAAAGGAGTGGCACTATTGGGAGGTGAGGCTTTGTTGGAGTACATAAGGCCTTGTTGGAAGAATTGTGTCACTGTGGAGTTGGGCTTTGAGGTGTTATATATTATCAAGCCACTCCCAGTTTCTCTGTTCACTTCCTATTGCCTACAAAATGTAGAATTTTCAGCTCCTTCTCCAGCACCATGTCTGCCTGCATGCCATAATGTCTCACCATGATGATGAATAATGGACTGAACCAATTAAACGGTTCCCTTTATAAGAGTTGCCATGGTCATGCTGTCTTTTCACAGCAATAGGAAAAGGGTATAGCAAGTGTGTGTGCATGTGTGTTGTGTGTGTGTGTGATGGAGTGGTGATTATGCGGAGGATAATTTATTGCCTCTAATTCTGATTCAAGACTAGTGTGACAAGTGGAAACATGGCCTGCAATCAACATTTCACAGTATTTTACCATTCTTGGGAATTACCAATAACTCATTAGATAGCTGCTAAGGCAACGTAATAACAAGAAACCACAGCAGAAACCCCAAGAGTTGAGTTGAGGGATTAAGGAACTTGTAGCGACCAACTCTCTGAAGTAGATGTGAGATGCCAACAAGAGACTCTGAACTCTCTTGAGAATTTAAATAAAATAACCTAAGATTTTTCTTATTTCTTAAAAGAAAACTTGCGAACCACCTGGAGTTGAATAATTTATGTGATTTACTGGCAAAAGCAATAGAAAAACTGAGAAATGCTTCTTACTGTGGGTATGTCTTGACGGAGCAGTTCAAAGACCTGATTACCTTCTGTAAAGCTTGCTTTATAATCAGCTGCTTCCTGGTGGATCATACTAGAGTCATGCTGCCTTTTTTATGGTTTAAAGATGGATGAGCAATGGAAGAATTCGCATCTTCATCACACACTGTTTGGAAAAGACAGGATACCTTCTAGGTGACTTTTGCGCAATTTGCAGGATGCTCTTTCTCTCATTGCTCTAACTGCGGAGTTGCACTAATCTCTGACATAGCTGCTGGCTAGGGAATGGTTTGAAGGTTAGCTTTTAGGACTGAAATGTCAGTCTTGCCCAAACCACATGGTTGGGATGGAGTAGAAGTCAATTCTCCAAAGGACTAGGGTATTATTGAATGGGGAGAGAAGAATGGATACTGGAAAATCAATGAAGATACTTTTTCACAAAAATAACTTGTACATTTGTAGTTTGGGGCTGTGTGTCGTCTAAGAATCACCCCTTGAGTGATATGGGAACTAGGGACCAGATGGGAAGTTCATGGTGTGCACAGAGTACCAAGGCGCAGTTTTAGAGAAATTCTTTCCCTTCCCAAGGATGCCCATTGTCCTTCACTGTCTCTTGGAGTGGAAAGTTGTTTGTTCAATTTTCTGCTGGACTGCTCCACCAACTTTCCTGGGAACTTCTCTTCCTAATTTCCATCCATCTCAAACTTGAGGTGTCAAGTGCTCCTGAATGTCCTCCAGAACTGTAAGATTTAGGATCAGTCTGCCAATAGACAGTATGCTGTGTGTGCGTGTGTGTGTGTGTGTGTGTGTGTGTGTGTGTGTGTGTGTGTGTGCCTGTGTGTGGGCGTATGCCTTTGTGCATCTGCTCTTACTGGTTGTCAAAGACACATGTGACAAGACGAAACCTTTTCTCCTTTCAGCATTGGTTTATCTCTTCAGGGTTCATGGTTACTTCATGAGACTGAATGGCTACTTTATCTCATGGAGACTGTTTTAGTTAGACTTACTGTTGCTGTAATGAAACACCATGAACAAAGCAACTGGGTGAGGAAGAGTTTATTTGGCTCATACATCCACATTGCTGGTCATCATTGAAAGAGTCAGGACAGGAACTCAAGCAGGGCAGGACCCTGGAGGTAGAGGCTAATGCAGAAGCTTGCTCCTCATGGCTTACTCAACCTGCTTTCTTATAGAACCCTGGACTACAAGCCCAGGATTGGCACCATCCACAATGGATTGGTCCCTCCCTATCAACCACTAATTAAGAAAATGTCCTACATTTTCTTCTGGACGCATTTTCTCAGTTGAGGCTTCTTCCTCTCAGATGACTTTAGCTTGTGTCATGTTGACACAGAACTACCAGGACAGAGACATTGTAAGACTCTGGCTTACATAAGTTTCTCATTATCTTAGTGTTGTATCTCATCTACACAATGAGCATAAGAGTGCACCAATCAGGGCTTGATGGCTGTCACAGGAGATGATGTGTGCAGAGCAAAAGTGCCTCGCTTGTGTCTTTACTGGCTTCCTGGGAAGCAGCTCTGAGGGAGATTCTTCCTTAAGTCAGGACCCAAGGTGCAGCATAGGTATAGCTGAACTTTTTCTCTATTCCACTGGTCCCCCTGGACTGATTTTTCTCTACAGATGTTCATGAAACAATCACTCAGAGGCTAATATTAAATATAAGTGGCCAATGGCTCGGGCTTCTTGCTAGCTATTTCTGTCTTATGAATTAACCCATTTATTTTAATAATCTGTGTATCAACATATGGCTGTGGCATGTGGAGGCATCTTATCCCTTCGGCAGTTATGTGGTGTCTCTCTGACTCTACCTTCTTTCTCTCTGTAACTCTGTTTGGATTTTCCACCAGGTTCTATTCTGCCTGGCTATTGACCAAATCAGCTTTATTCATCAACCAACAAAAGTAACACATGTTTGCATCATACAGAAGGGCTTCCCACATCACATAGATTTAGCTTTCTATATTTCCATGTCAATTAGTTAGTGACTGGGCTGAGGTAGTCAGTGGTCTTGGAAGATACTTGGAGGATCAGTATCTCCTGTTCAGTGGTCTGGGAAGATCCCTGTAGGATAGCCAGACCCTGTTCAGGGGTCTAGGAGGATCCCTGCAGCATAGCCAACTCTTATTCAGCCCGGAGTCAATTGTGCAAGAAGATAATAGTGAGCCATGAGTAGCTAGTTTTTACACTAGCTGGGGGATGAGGACAGCCGCTGGTGGAATCTGGGCAGGGGGCCAATGACAGCCATTGACTCAGGGTGGATATGGTCTGGTGGCAAAAGGAGGTAGGAGGCAGGATTTGGGATTACTTCCATGTTACAGGTATGCAGTTGAAGTGTAATGTTCAAGCCAATTGCCCGAAGTCACTTGCCAGCAGGCAAGCATTTGACAAGGAAAGGGGGGAAACTCCCTGCATCTTAAAGTGACGTGATTCACATTAACATAGTTTTTGTCAAAGAGACATGCCTTCTAGACCATCTGGATCAGCTCAGTTTAAAACAAGGAAAATCAAGTTCACAAAAGACAAGTAGCCCAGACTAGTATGAACACATAATTGCCCATCCTTTTTTGAAGTTACTTTTTAATTTGTTTTAAATTAGAATAGACTACTTATGCACTATTACAGTTTCATACATGTATATGATGCATTTTGATCATTTGTTCTCTCAGTTTTCCTCCCACTGATCCCAATCATCTAAGAGATTGGTGACCATTGATTGGACATTGATAACACTCCCTCCAAGGCACAGGGTACCTCATGGAAGAAGGGGAATATCAGGATAGCTCACATTACTATGTCACATAAAATTAATATGCATATGTTCTCACAACCCCACAGGTCATGTGGTGTAAACTGCTTGATTTAATGTGTGGCCTAAGACAGTAGTTTATCCAGTGTGGTCCAGAGAAGCCAAGAGAGTGGAAACCTCTGCCAGTGAGTGAATTAGATGAAAATGAGAAGTATGTGTGAAGTGTGTGTGTGTGTGTGTGTGTGCGCGCGCGTGCGCGCGTGCACACGTGGTATGTGCATGGTGTGTGCTAGGTTTAACAAAGTAAGATTTGTATTTTTTATGTGTTGTTTTCTATGGAACTGGGATTTCATGCTTGGTAGGCAAGTACTCTGCCACCAAGCCATATCCCAATCAAATTTGCAGTCTTAGAAGTATAATAATGACTGTGGTGGTAAGGAGGGATGGGCAGGCTTAGCAATAAGATAGGCTCAAATGGTCCTTGCCTTTTATGATCACCTAGAGCTCCAGGACTAATTTCTAACAATATAGAAAAGCATCGTGGGGACTGTTACAAGGCCTAAGTTCTAGAAGATAAAACACATTTGATAAGGCTGGGATCTCATTAAGTGGCCCGGAGCCATGTGGGACTGGAATTGCAGCTGACACTTCCAGGTGCCACAACTCTCCCACTTTTTGGAAGAACTGTCCACGTGTCCTAGGGAGCTCCAAGGAAGGTTCCGCTGCGGCAAAGTTCAAGGTTAAGAAAAATCTGCAGTGAGAAAAAAGAGAGCTAGATCTGTGTTCAGTGCTGGCATGTGAGTGGGACAGAAATCTTACTGTGGGAGCCAAGAGACAGCTGGCCAGCAAGGCTGCTTTGACATTATTCTACATCTATGTGTTCCTAGAACTGCCACAGAATGAAAGAACCTCTAATGAAGTCTAGATCCAGGCCTGGCAGTGTAGACCTGTCATCCCAGCTACTTGGGAGACTGAGGCAGGAGGATTAGCTATCTGGAACTAGCCTGTGTTTTAGAGAGAGTTATGGCTAACCTGAACAACTTAGTGAGATCTTGTCTCAAATATAAAGCAAAACAATGAGGGCTGAGCATGTACCTCAGTGGAAGCCCTGGTAGCAGGTGAATGACCCCATGGGGCTGGAGATGTGCAGGTTCACTTATTTACTTTCTAGGCAGTGTTGTTTTTGGTGCTTTCCCCTGCTGGGCCCCAGTATGACATCCACAAAGTGGGCATGGTGATAAGGCATCACCCTTCAGGGCTTTTGATGGGGTTGACTCCATCATGCATGGAATGACAAGTGTATTGTAAAATTATAATAGTAATCAGCAGAAAGCTGGTTAAGCATGGGTGTCTCTGGGGAGATTGCTTACCTTGGGTTTTGAAGAACCCCATAAAGGGGGACAACCTGTGATTATTAACTGCTATAGAATGCCAGATAAAGACTTGAAAGAGCAATTCACCGTTAAAATTCAAGGTAGGTTATGTACATGTGGGAGATGAAGATAGGAATGGATACATCAAAGGAGGCCCAGAGAAAGCTGTGTCTTGGGATGCTGGGTTCTCTTGGCTGTTACTTCAGGGGAGTCCTGGCACATTTTCTAGAAACTCAAGTGTGCTTTGAGTACTTCTTAGGGAGTTTGATCATTTCCGTCTGCAGCTCCTTCAGCCCTGCCCTTTCTCTGCACATCCCTAGCAGGGCCTCTCTACCGCACTACGCAGTACTGAGGGGGATATAAATAGCATCAGGGCAAACTAGTTCACATGGAATTGTTGCTGACTCAGAGAAAGGAAGTGCCACAGGACTTAAAGAGGTGGGGCCTACCCCCATCCACTTTTTCCTTGCCCCTCCCTCTTCTGTCTGCTTTTCCCATCATTGCCCACCTCTAGGCTGTGTCCATTAAAGGGATGCTGTAATGAGAGCTGTGCAGACCAGTCTCCCATCTTAAGGAGGATACAGGGTCCTGGAATCTTGGTACTCTTCCATTCTCTCCTTTTTCTTTGTCATGGTACCAAGCAGAAGGGATTCTAGGAAAGAAAAGAGTATCACAAGAAAGAAGAAAAGGTAAAGTATGTCAAATTCCTCAAATATGCTCCTTTGATTTAAGATGAGCATGGAAGATGAGTTTGTCCCTCTTTGGAATGCCACGGGACAGCTGATAACATGCATCCAAACTTCCTACGTTGTGAACATGACTTTAAACTAAGAAATAATTTAGTGCTAAATATACCCATTCTTATAAAATCTGCTATTTTGAGTTAAATGTTGCAGAAATTACTGAATTTGCATTTAATTATTTTAATAGATCTTGTTTACAGATGACTAGGCAAAAATGAGAGAGAAAGAGGGAGGGAGGGAGGTGGAAGGGAGAGAGAGAGAAAGGAGAGGAGAGGAGAGAGGAGAAAGAACAACTAATTCACTTTGACTACTTTGATTGTAACTATGCCTAAAATAGAAAAACACATGCTGAATATTTTCTCAGAGTTGGAGGTAAAGTCAACTTTAATTCCAATTCTCTCAGTGTCTGGACCCTATTAAATGAGATTTACACTTTTGAAATTGAGGAAGGAATATTTTCCTTAGTGAAGGACTCTCCTGGACCTGTATCCTAATTGCCTCAGAGACTTATTTTGAGTTTTTAAAGAAGGATAAAGTATACTATAATGAATAAGACCATGTGTTGATGGTCAAGCCAACCTGGGTTTTAATTCAAGTTTTATTTCTTATTAGCTGGGTGTCACTTAGTCTCTCTGAGTTCTGGTTAAAATTGAGGCATTAATTTTACTGTGTAAGAGTGTTTTAAAATAAACAATAATGTATACACAACACAGACAGTAGAGTCAGCGCCTAGCATACAGTAGTCCTTGGTAAATACACATATCTTTTGGTGTGATCCATCATTTTCTTCCTTCTTGGCAGAGAAATTGTGTTGGGTTTAGTGATTTGTCAAACACTTCCTGGTTAGGGAGAAGTACAGAGTACAGAGAAGAACTTCCTGAGTGTCAAAGCTTATTGGCAACATCCATGTAGAACTTATTTCTAGGGATGGGCCTAGAAGGGTTTGCTTTTGACATTTTCATTTCTATCACTGGGGCATCGGCAGACCCCTTAGCCTATAACACACAATTCACCTCCATACTTTCAAGCTAAGATGAGAAGTGGACACTTTGATTTATTTTTATACTGGTTGGCCTCTGTATTCAATAAAGGTTTTAAATTAATGGAGAAGGAACTTGGACTTCTAAGTATGGTATATCCAATATCCAATCAATAAATATGATGCAATGGATTCCACAAAGGGAGGAGCTACTGATGGTGTTTTTTCACCATTATATTGTTACAGAATAGTGAGTGGTTATACTGTGGGACAATACTATCTAATGGTCTTCAGATTTTATTGTTTATATAAACCTCATATAAGGTTAGTTAACACACTGTTGGCCAGCATGTCTAAAGGTTCTGAGGCTATTTGTCTGGTTTGGGACCATCATACACATTTTACAAAAGTTTCCCAGCAGATACTGGCTCTGTTGGGTTGGGGACCACACTTTGAAAACCACTGCTCTGGTAGTTGAGAAGAAAGTTCAGGAGCGAGGATCCCTGCTTCACTGATTATATCTGGGTAACTTTGAGTAAGCCACTTAGTTACCCCCCTTTAAGTCTCTGATTCCATACTCATGAAATCAGGTTAATCACCCCTATGTCTTAAAGTGACAAAGGGGATTTGGTGAGATATTTGCTTTCAGTGTAGGTCTAGCTCATAGCATGTACTTACTATATTGAGCCATGCATTGTGAAGGCTGGAGAAAAATTCCCCACCCTTAGGGAGTTTGCAACAAGAAGGTATCTAGTCAAACTAACGGTCATCTACTGTGTTAATTTTTCCTCTGCTTGATATGATCAAATGTTTGACAAAAAGTAGCTTAAGGGGGGAGAAGTTTATTTTGGCTCACAGTTCAGGAGAACACAGTGTGTAATGATGGGGAGACATGGTGACAGAAGCTTGAGACAGATGTTCATATGGCATCTGTGTTCAGACAGCAGTGAACACAGTACTCAGATCTCTATCTCCTTTTTATTTAGTCCAGGACCTCATCCAATTGGTTAAATCTAGAAAGGTTCTGAGGGATATGTCCAGAAACTTGCCATCATGGTGATTCTAACACCAATATCTATCATAGTCCCATAAAAGAGTTTGAGGTTCTCAAGGAGCACTGACAGAGGCTATCTAATATATCTAATATATACCAAAGCTGTATATTTTAAAATGTAGAAGATTCTGGGCAGAAAAATGTTGGACAAGATTTGGTATCACCCACTTGCTGATCTCATAGATTCCCAAAGGCTTTTCGTGGTACTCAAATCAAGTCAAGGTGTGGTCCATGTTGGAAATCTACTTCCCAGGATACTTACTATATGGGGATTTCCTCACTTGCTCAGTTTCATCCTTCCTGGATTCTCTGTGAGGACCCAAAGCTTGACTTGATCCTAGACACTTGTATGTGCTGGACCTTCCACCTGGAATTCCCTTTCTTAGACTTTTTTATGGATAGATGAATTCATCCTTTCATGGCACCTGTTCAAGGGTGCTATCCCTGACTGTTGACCTTGTTATCTTCTGCTGCTATTTGTAGTGCTGGTGATGGGATCAAGAAACCAGTACTCTAACATTAGCCCTTTGACACCTCTTTTTAAAGTGAATACTCTTTTCCTTACATTGTACTTTTTTTCAATGATACTTTTACTTGGGAAAAGTATATGCCCTCATCTTTTAATCTAGAAGTTCAGGTCTATAAAGGTAGGCACTGAGTGTGTCTTATGGTCTTACCTACTGTAAACACTGGAGAAGTTTTTGTTAAATGTCATGTGTGCAAAGAAAAGGATGCCTGTGTGAGTCCTTGTTGAGACTCCCATCTGGGTCCTGGGAGACAATCAAAGGTATAAGAAGAAACCAAGGCTCAAGGAAAATAAAGGATTTTCATAGGTCACAAAGGAGTTTGCATTAGTTCTGACCTTGAGCCCAAGACTCTTGACCACTTGATCAATACAATTGCATGTGCTGGTCAAAACATGTTATGAGATGGGTTATGGGTTATAGATAATGGGCTATTGGATGGTGCATGTTATGGAATGTGACCACATAATCCTTTAAATCATTTATTTGGGGGTATCCTTCCTATATAAAGTACTATTTTGAGTGGGGTGAGTGGGAATGAGTTTTAGAAAAGGGTATAGTGGACTTCTTTGTAGAGCTCATGCTACCTCATTGACTGTCCTTACCTTAGCCAATGGTGAGAACCCTTTGTGTCAGAGCAGAGTCTGGTAGTGCTGTCCTTTTACTTCTAACCCCAGTATATGATGTGGCAATCATAATCAGTACTGAATGGTTACTCTGTGTGAGTTATTATGCTTAGTGCCTGCTATAGGGTCTATTTTAATTACTGTAAATTCACAAGCATTGCTAGCACCTATTTTATAAAGAATATGAGGCTCCCAGAGGTGAGGTTACCTATCTACAGTTTTGAACCAAGGTTGCTTGGGTCCAGAGCACAGACTTTTAATGTTGATGTTGAAGGGTTATGTAAGCATGGTTCAAATTTTGGTCTGTGACACCTAGAAGCTGTGTGGCTTCCAGTGAAAGACAAGTCTGAACCTTGGTTTCTTCATCTACAGAAAGAGAGTGAAAATATTCTCTTTTGCTGGAGCATGGTGTTTAGAGAGCAGAGTGGGTTCCTGACATGTAGCTGATGTCTAGTAAGGCCAGCTTTTACAGCTAATCATTCCTGGGCTTTGCTGCTACTTCAGGATTAGCTGCTTTGAGCGGCTGTAGTTCCATTCCAAAGTCTCAGAAACTCAGAGTCGTCATTCTTTAACTGGCTAATTTTATGGTTTCTCTTTTACTTAGACAATTTAGGGATGGAGAGATGGCTCAGTGGTTAAGAACATTGACCACTTTTCCAGAGGACCCAGGTTCTACTCCCAGAACCCACAAGATGGTGCACAATGGTTTACAACTTCCGTTTTAGGGGACCAGATGCCCCCTTCTGTTCCCCATGAGTAAAATAAATAAATTAAAAAATATTTTTAAAAATATAGCATAATTCTAAGTAACAAAGCTAGATACAATGGCACAGGCTTGTTACCCTAGCTTCCAGGAAACTGATTACAAGTTCAAGGCCCATATGGGTGGCAGAATGGGTTGAAGGTCCACAACATCCCACTTCAAAAGAAAAAGTCAGAGCATCTAGTCAAGCATTTATTTTCAACTCCCAGCACACACAAAAGAAGGCCCACAGAGGAATAAATAAAGTTAAGGTTCTACATGTGTAGGTGCTGTTATGAAATGATGCCGAGTCGGTCCAGAAAATACTCATGCAGGACTCAAGGGCTGAAAATACCATTCTAGACTGCAGTTGGAAATCACTGGTCTTCAGGCCAAATCCAGCTGCCACCTGTTTCTGTAAATGAGTGTTACTGGAACATATCCACAGCCATTCATTAATGTGTCATCTATGGCTGGTTTGCTGTTCCAGTGATGGAGCTGAGTAACTGTGACAGAGACTGTGTGTTCCACAAAGTTCTAATATTTACTATCTGTCTGAAAACCTGATGATGCCAGTGATGAGAAATAGAAAAACACTTATACACATGTCTGTCCTCATGGGACATTCTTGAAGGAGGAAAACAAAGTATAGATAAATTAAATGTGTTGCTTGTGTGTATGTATGTGTGCCTGGGGTGTGTGTGTTTCTGTGGTGTGTGTGTGAGGTGTACGTGTGTATGTGTGTATGTGTGTATGTATGGTGTGTGTTTCTGTGTATATGTCTGTGTGGTATATTTATGTGTGTGTGGTGTGCTTGAGTGTGGTGTATGGATGATATATATGTGTGCATATGCATGTGTAGTATATGTGTGTGTGGTTGTATGTGTGTTGTATTTGTGTGTGTGTGTGTGTGTGTGTGTTCTGGGGACTGAACCAGTGCTCTACCATTGGAATGATATCCAAAATTTTGTGTATTTTGAGAGA